ATGCAAAACGTGGCCGAAAAAAGTTCACACGAGATTATGTTAACAGAGGCATTCTTCAGCATTTGCGACTTCGCAATACAATACCACCGCACGCTGATAAAACAAAGTCGTGCCTCAACGTGGCTGCACGTGATCTAAGGAACTATAATATATGACAAGTGCTACATTCTTTCGGGATGAATGAATCCAAAAAAATCCGACAAACACTCGCTGGTTAAATTTTTTACGATTTGAATTTATAATTTTAGAAGAGCATTCGCAACATTCAAAGAGCATTATCAAAGCAGAGAATAATCATTCGAAAGAAACGCGCCTCTATTAGCGGCGACAACCTCCTCGAGTATGCTTGTGTCTATTACAGCAAGTTTTAAGGTTGTAATATGAAGTGTAAGTGTCTTGTATTCAAGTATTTGTGCTTGTGTGTATATGTGTTTGTGCCTTTCAACCTTTCAGACATCTAAAATAGACTTCGGGTGTTTGCATGTTTTCATGTTCATGTATTATTTCACCAAAGAATTTGGAGTATATTGAGAACAATAATATAGTAGCAATTATTTTTTTTCCATCACGAAGATGAGGGAGGCTGGGCAAAAAAGCTGAGAAGCAGCTAGCTAAGAGCCTGCTCCCAAAAATGCAGAAAAGTACACTTTGGCGAGTTTACAGCAGTGCACCATGAACAGCCTTATTAACTGGGTAAATAAATGGCAAATGAAAAAAATGAAAGGATAGAGAAATAAAGCTATGAGCAACAATTCAGTGCATTTCCACTGAAAATAAAGTTAATAAGAACACAACAATTTCAACAACTGGCAATGCAAAACTAGACACTGGATTTCAGATAGTCGTGCACCTGCGAGTTCAATAAAAGCCAAATTTCAATAAAACTTCAATAAAAGCCAAATTTCCACTAGAAAAATGCACCCTGAATTCCATGAAAAATAAACTTCGAAAACGACGAAGCCCTACATATAACAAAGTAATTTTAAATAGTTTCATGTCAGCATCGGCATTGCAACGAATTCACACTCATAGTATAGGACATAATGAAAATATATATTGTAACGTTGATTGTGATATCGTTGCAACTAGGTTCAACTGTTTCAACACGTCAACAGTAAGGTTTCGTGAATGGCTCACCACCCACAAACTTGCCATATAGTACAACTGGTTCAAACAGTTTTCGTTTCAAAAAGTTTACCACTAAAATTTGAAGATTTGACCCACCCATTTGCCAAAGCTTCTACTTTTTTTGTCATAATGAAGAAAGAAGGAGGCTGGGAGAACAATCTTGAAAGCAGCTTGCATAAAGCCTGCTCCCAAAAGTACAGTAAAGAGGCAGAACTTTTCCACCAGCACCTTTTATTTGTTTTTCACTGACAGCCCACCCAGGTTTCTGGGCTGTCGGCTCCCAATGGCATCATGTTTGGTACAGGGTGTCGAGCTATTCATCTAGTCCTAGCTAACATACGTTACACGCTACCTCGTACAGTATTGCTCTGGACAAATTGAGATTGATGGCATCTATCGAACACTGATCTCTGTTCTGCAAAAGAAAATGCCTCACAAAAGATACATGCTGCTCTGCTTTGTGCTCACCCGGACAGACGGTCATTTACTGCGTAGAGGCAGATGGAAGGAATGCAGGGGGCACCTTCCTTGACATTTTTGATGGCCTGGCGCAAGGAGGCTAATGATTCTTTGCAGTGTTCAACAGGAGGTTCCTGCTTGTTATCAACACTGCTACCTCTCGCAGCTGTCGATGACGAGACCAACTGTTGCTGTAAGCCCAAGGCTTGCGCATCCCCATTCATTTTTTCATGCGCAAGCTGTACTGCAATTCGAAGAAAGAATACAGAAGAGCTCAAAATAGCGTTTATTTATAGATTGAAATTCATGGGCTCCCTAGGTTGAGTGCTATGCAAAATGACTGGGCAAGTTACGTAATTTGCGAAGTGTTCATTGAGAGCCATGCAATGTCAGACATATGATAAACGAAAGACTGATGTTCAACAGAAAGCAATATACATCAGAGAACATACAATACTCGGAACAATGCACAAAGAGAGAACCAATTTATATTTCACTTTTAGTTGTGGCAGTTGTAGCTTGCCACAGTTACCATCTTGTTACGGTAATGTGTGTGTAGCCTTCAGACACGTAGGAACGCTCCTTTGATCCAATGCCATTAAGTTTATCCACTGTTACTGCTTCGTTGGGATGTTTACTCATGATACTACATAATGCTTGCAAAAGTGGACCGAGAACCTAGATTTGCAATGATGAAAATGCTAGGTTAAATGAAGTATGTGTGTGCTTAAATGCTGTATCACAGCATCGAGTACCCTGCAGTGCTGGAAAAAATTCTGAAAGTCCTGACACTAAATACTTGAAGCAACTACCAAGATTGCATAATTTAGAGGATTTATCACTGCAAAAACAGCAATAAGAACAAAGACACAGAAAGAACACGCAGGACAAAGCGCAATCTGTTCTTTCTGCGTCTTTCTTTTTCGCACTGTTTTGCAGTGATGAAGCCATACCAACGGGCTCCGTCCCACGTCCTTTTGTAGTTTACGTTGTGTGCCTACAATAAGCATCTATAGCTTTCATTACAGCCACATCTGCAACACATGAATCAATCAGGGAATGAACACATAAAAACATGCCTGTTAAATGTACATGTTCTTACCATCAATGTCAATGTACAGGTTGAAGACTTGTAGCAAAATGAGGTTGTCACTGTCCTAGAAAGCAAGAAGGAAAAATTAGCCTGGAGGATCATCCATCCACAAGTAAAACATTATATCACACAGGACAAAGCTTCTTACCCTCAAAAAATGTAAAACATACTCCAAGCTGTCATCCGAGAGTTTTACTGAATACTTGTTCTCTCTGAAAAAAAAAGGGGGGGGGGGAATGGTTTCACTTTCAAAAACTTTTTTTCACCTGCATAAAAGCTTGTTTGCAGTAATTAAAATAATGCATTTTATACTCCCATTTTAAGCATGTCAGAAGCAGCAAGGCCCTAACATTTGCCATAGTAAAGGCGGGGGTTGTTTAAACCTCACACCACCTCTTACTAGACTCTTGGAAACTAACAGTTCACAATAGCATCAGGACCATCGCATGAAAATATATATCACCTGAATTCCTTTACATGAGGATGGGAAGGTACATCTGATGCAGAGGTTATGCTAGGCAGCATGTCCGTGATCATACGATATTGATCCGATGATTGAAATGTGCTCCGATGACGACTGTGAAACTTCTGAGCTGTGGGCACCATTTGAAAAGGGAGAATAGGTGTTTCAGTGAACATCACAAAACAGCAGTAATATTAGGCCACGGCACACAAAATAAGTGAAGCTATAGGTGCAGGAGATGCAAGCCCTTTGTTTCACAACATCACTGACTACTCAAGATGTACTTTTCATAAGCTTTCGTAGCACACAACGGGTTTTTCTTCCATCACTTATCCCTCATCTTGTTGGAATCATCTACATGCCAACAAAAGCTATTAACTTGCATGTCTCAGAAAATACTAGTCACATGAGAGGGAAAGTTATCAGCAGCTTAAGTGCAGAACGGACGTAGTGCGTCATGCAAAATGAAAGAAACTATTGCTTGCGACGGTGCTATTCAGTAGGCATTTAAGCAAGCGTGGCAGGCCGATGAATAAATCAAAGGCAAATACAATGAAAAGTGGACTACCTGAAGACTTTTGACCATTGCTGATGAGTTCAAGGTACAAATGAACAAACATTGGGAACAACATGAATGTGAGTTCGGACTTGAAAGGTTCGCAAGCATCGGCAATGAAGTTCTTGAGCCTGCACGGGAGAAAAGAAAGGCGGCACGACTAACGAAACTGCCTCGCAGATAGCGCCAAAATCGGCACGCAAGAGTTGTGATCAACAACTATTTTCGTAAAGAGAGAAAAGGCAACGATAGCTGTTCTGAGAGAACCGCTTGTCGTTCATATGACGAGGAGCGTTTACAACTGTGCTACCGGTTTTTTTTTTTTTTTTTTGTAGAAGTTTGTTAACTGCCCTTAAAAATGGCACGTCCTCATCAGGAGATAGAATGCTACACAAAAAAAAAAACACAGTGCAGTAGGCTCGGTAAACGTTGAGCGATGCAGCCACAAATAGCGCACTCTTAGAGTGTTTGAGCAACCAAAAAGAGAAGGGGGTGAGGAGACACGGCAATTGCCTAAAGTTGTAACGATTACTGCAATGAAATAACTTACTTGCTAAACTGCTGCTCAACAGCTTGAGCGTCCTTATTTACAGGGCTGTAGCTTAGAACATTTTTAGCTCCCGTCTCTGAAGCCACCGTTCCATTCAATGCAAAGTCGGCTACGCTTTGCTGCAGCTTCACGTCAGATTTCTTGAAGGAATCGCAGTCCTACGAAGCAATATTGTCGTTAGCATTCTACAGATCTCGAATGAAATAAAACATGACGCTAATAGCGAGTGGCAAATGCACTGTCAAGAGGTTTCTTCTCCCAGCAACTTGACGCCAATAAACATGCTAATGCTTTGCCAAAAATAGTGATTACCATGTACTGCCTTCCTTTCAAGTAGCGACCGACTGCTGCAGCAACCATTTCGTTCCTGTTTTTCTTCATAGTCTGCAATCATTGGGGTAAATGTCACATGTTTACACTATTTTCAACGTTTAACATGCGCACGAACCCCATTGCGCCGTCTTAAAGAAAACACAAACGTCCATGCAGCGACTGATGATGTCGCCAACGATACGCCCAGATACCAAAGCCAGAAATGAGCTGAATTGTCAGCTGTGGAAGCAAGGTGAGTATTGTTTCGTTACGTCAGGTTTGAGGTGAACTTTAGTGCAGTTTTTCCAAACATCTAAATTGTTTTTTTTGCGTTTTATTGTTTTTTTTATTTTAGCCTTTTAGCGCGGCGGCGTGGGTGCGCGGGAAATGTGAAAATGCGTTTTGCTATTTCTCATTATTGATAGCTACAAAACTCTCTTAAATCCTTTATTTGTTCAGTGTGCTTCACCTAAGTAAAAAAAAAGAAACAAGCATGTCCAATGAGCCAGCTCATGGCATCCTTCATGCTTTCTTGAAAGTTTCCCCGCCACTAAACTCGATAGGCGGTGCCGTTCAACTTTCGCAGTTTCTTGTCTTTCGGCGCAATATCTACGCCGGTGGTAGCCTCACGAAGCTTGGCGGGGCCCTTTCAGCCTGTCAGCTGCTTCCACTGCAACCGTCGCTGCACGAACTCGTGGGCGAAGCGCGAGGCCTCTTCTCCACTGCCAAAGTGTTGGCGGACGTACTCTTCAATTTCGGAGTTCGAGTCGACTTCCCTCAGCAGCTCGAAGAAAGTTGGCACGTGGACGTACGACGGAAGTCTCCCGAGCCTATCGTAGCACCAGCGGGTGAAATCCTGGTCCGCGGCTGCGCGTCGGGTCCACGCCGGGTCTTGCTGTTGGTTCCTACTTTTGCTCTGCAAGGCGCGCGCGAAGGCTTTGCCACCGAGCGATGGGAACCGCGTCATGTTTTCGATGGCGACAGGCTCCGGTGTGCCAACTTGCGTCCGCCCGTACGTGCCCGCATTTGCGGCTTTGTCGGCGCTTTCAGGCACACTTCGGCCCAGGTTGTTGGAGCAGCAGGAGTGTCGACTGCAGCGGTAGATGTACGGCGGCAGACCATGTTCTTTCTTTCGGCTGGTTGTGTCGCTACCTCCGATACGAAGCTGCGTGCTGTTTGGCACTTCTCGTAGCCGCCCCAGGCTCCTTCGCGCTGCTTCCACTTCTTCTTTGAGGCTTCCATTTGTGTGGTTATCCTCAGCAAGAAGTTCTGCATTATCGCGAAATCCAAGTTCAGCTTTGACGTGTTCGGCACGGTGAACTCGCGTGCCCGGTAGAACCGCTGGGGCTGTTTCTACAGTCGGGTTTACGACCTTAATCGATTCCACTGGTTTTTCCTGTGAGTCAATGAACGAAGTCTGACCGCCTTTGAAGAACTTGCCGTTACAATTCAAGGGTGGCTCTTCATTCTCAAGGGTCGGGTGACAGTGCGGCCAGCGTCGCGTCCTGCCTGCCTGCAGTTTGTCAAGTGCTGTAGCTTGGTTGGTTTTGCAAGGTCGGATCGGCGGTGAACGGCAGTCTACCCAAGGTGGTCATGAGCTGGCCAAGCAGTTGAAGTCTTGGTCGCAGGTGCGTTTCACAGGCAACGACGTGCGGAAGTAGCCGGAGGCTAACCAGGAGAACATGCAGGCACCGGAGAAGGGTCCGTGCACACAGCCCAGATGGTCCTTGTAGAGCCAGAGATCGCAATCGCTGTTGTCATTCATGTCGAGCATCGAGGCTTGTTGCTGCTTGGATGGCTTGGCGGAGCGTAGCTGTACTCTGCTCTGGGTGGAGTCTTCGTCGCAGGAGTCCAGTGGCATTCCAGATTCGAATTCGGTGTTTGACTCCCCAGTTCTCTTCCGCACCGTTTGAATCATCGCGTTGAGGTCTTCCGATGGGCTGGAGACTGCGCTGCCCTTTTTCAGCTCGGGGGCTTCTCGGGATGTTGGTGACATGGCGCCTGTACGCCTCGGAACGTGCTCCGCTTCTCGTCCTCCACGCGCGCACGTGCTGCGGCCGTGCCGTAGTCCTCGTTTTTCTCGTCCCCTCTGTGACACTGTTCACGCGCACATCTGCCGCAAGACATGCCGTAGATCAATATGTGATCTTTGCGAATTCCTTTTATGTTCTGCGGTCGATGTTTCCTTTATTCAAAGATCCAGATGGTAAACTGACCACCCCACCCTTTCCCGATATATGTGTGCCAGAGAACCAAAGTTTAACCAACACCTTCTACAAAAAAAAAAAGTCACAGTTTCGCTGCACGGGCGAAACAATGAATGTGATAGCAACAACTTGGAACGTAACGCTGAGAACGGCAAGCAGATCAAAACTTGCAGCGCGCTGCTCACGCACAAATGACACGAAAGCAACATACACAGGAAGAGAGCGAACTAACAACGTTTACTACTCGACACTTAGCGCGCTGTTTAAACAAAAACGACGCACGAAACATGATCACGAGTACAGATGAGTGCAAACTAACAAGTGTCCCAGTTGTTATACTTCGCTGTGAATGAAAAGCGCGCTCTTTTTGCAAACGGGACCAGTGTACTGTAGAGAGCAAAGTGATCTTCGTGGACCTGGCAACTAATGCTATCGTTCTGGTGAAAGCCGAAGGCACATGATTCTCTCTATCCAAGGATAAGCGCGCGTGCACAAGCATATAGAGAATACCATTCACCGATTTTCTTGCGCAGAACATCAAATAAACGTTTTGTTCACTCTCTCCAGACGCAAGACTATCGTCTTTCGACGACATTTGCGGTGTAACATGCAGATTTGGAACCATTTTTTTCACGAGTTTTCATATATATATATATACAAACGTATACATATACGGTTGATGACAGCGGCGGCGACGGTAAACAACTAACTGAGACTGTCCATATAATTGCTCTCGCAATAAAATCACAGCATATTCATGGAGTGAATGCGTATGAGTGGGGAGAAGCGTCCGTGCTTCTGTCCGTCCGTCTTTACTTCCGTCCGTACACGCGTCCGTCAGTACGGACGGTCGGCCACTTCGCCCCACTCATCATCATTAATTCCATGGATATGCTGGGAAAACCACGAACGCCATGTAAGGTATATTATTCCCAAGCACATTAGGGTTCCTCGAAGCGCGTGCCCCACTACGCTGCTTTGGATGGTGGAGGCAACCTCGTCGTCTGCTACGGAGTCCGCCTTTACGATGCCCTCTCCGCAAGCCGCCTACAGCCCCGACACCAGCCAACGAGTGTTGCGCGGCTGCATACAGAGTTTGTTGCGTCAAAACGTGTGGTACTCAAACAACATTAGAGAAATACAATGTTTTTTTTTGTTTTTATCGGCAGTGTGAAGGTCTTAGATATCTATTCTCTATAGTCTTCATTTTTAAAGACATTAGCAGCTGGAGTTGCTTGCAGCAGAAAAATACCGTTGACGCAAGCCGCGTCTACACCGTCAATTAGCGTCTTTTTGGACTAGTAGCTAACTATTTATATAGGTTAAAGATGTGAAACATCAGCACCTAAGTCACATGACCTTTCAATGTGTCTGTGTGCATTCCACAAAAGGGTAAAAACAGTTGGTAGTTTGCCAGCTGGCAGGACAAAATATAAGCGTTTATCTGTGCGTTAGTGGTACGGTATTGTCACGTGACTGAGTGGTACGGAGGCGAACGGTTTCACACGGCGGCGGGTCGTAACATTCGGTAGAAGGCATGGCCTTCCAGACTGCATGTTGGCAGCAGGCTCCCAATTGAAAAAAAGATCGACGTTCCAGGAATAGTTTCTTTTTTTCTTTCAGGAGGCGTTGCACGGATACACAAGTAACATAAGGAAGGACACAGAGGAAAGAGGGAGAGAGCAAGCTGGCAACTGCCACCTGGAGGGGCACAATGCCCTTCAGAAGCCATTGCCAGATGGCAATGTACGGCTGTACCACGCATTATTACTGCGATGTTCCATGAAAGTTACTTCCACTGGATTTCCGAGCAGAAAAAAGTCATTTTCACTCTTTTTTCAAGCAGGCGCGTGTGTTTCGGGATTAGAACACCTACTTGGTGTGCAGACGACCAAGTGTCGATCCTCATTCGGACACGGAATTTTTGATTATTGATTTTATTTGCATCTTTCCCCATTTTTCGGGGACGAACAAGATGATGATTTTTTGCTCTCAACCAGTGACGCTGACACCGGAATTTCTGAGAGCCCCACCCGACATTTTTCTATGATTTAAGTAAAAAGTTTCTCTCTCTCTCTCTCTCTCTCTCTCTGCTAAATAACCTCCGACACCAAACTTGGAAACTCGAGATGCTCGTTTCGTTTAGAGCCCTGCATGCGGGGGCACTTCTGACCGATTATTAGTGACGATGCGTTGCCTGTGAGACATTTTAATTTAGTTTCAAAGTAAGGGTGCGTGCTCGATGCGTTGCCTGTGAGACATTTTAATTTAGTTTCAAAGTAAGGGTGCGTGCTCGTCCGAGTATTCAGGTGCAATCGACATTTTCTGTGGTTTGACGTAGACATGGGGCCCCGTCGTGACGTTGCAGAGACACCAGAGAACACTTGTGTGACACACACAATACCAGTAACTGACTGGCGCCCAACGAGTACTATTGTTCGTCACCCATCTCGCTTTGTTAAGGCGGTTTTCGCTGCCTACGTGCAGGAAAGAAGTTCGAAATAGAGGAATTTAGGGCCAGTTGGTGCACCATAATGTAAAGGAAGGTCAAGTTCTTTCCGTCCTTTAACTTGTGCGCTCATACCCTACGCCAGGAATGCTCTTCTTTTTTCTGAGAGGGACAGGCTCAATTTTTGAAAGCATCCTCATCATTCTATTCTTCAGCCGGCGCGTTCAGCGTCACTAGCGTCACTGAAGCCTGAGCGCACGTAGTCTAGCCACCCTATTTCAGGCACTGGCAGCGCCAACGTTTCTAGTATGGTAGCCACCATAGTTTCTAGAACTAGGAACGTTGGCAGCGGTGCCCCGCTATCGGTATGCTGTGTGGGACGCTAGTTTCTCATGGTATTTAGGCGAGCATTTCAAACTGATGCAAAATTGTTCTGAATTAACAATGTTAACATTATTAATACGATTCATTAAAGCATTTACAATTCAATCTCGGCATTAACGTACGCAAAGGGGCAACTTCCCGTAAAAAAGTCGAACAAAACATTCACTGTCAGGGGTGCTTTAAAGCTATCGCGCCAAAAGGCTCAGCTCGCCTTTTCCAGGCAACCTACAAAGACAAAAAAATGCCGCCACATCCACGAAGTGAATGATGATGAGTGGGCGAAGCTCCGGAGGTAAACCTGGTAAACCATGAATCCTCCGTACATTTTGCCCACTCGATTTTATTGCAACGCTCCCCCTAGCGTACGTCGCCGCACTATATCGAACGATGACACGCGCCATATGTGGCATCATTCCTATTTTATAACACCTCGCATCTTTCATAATCAACTACACGTACCGCCGTCTAGTTTATAACATCTTGCATCTTTTGGATGGACGGACGGACGGACGGACGGACGGATGGATGGATGGATGGATGGACGGACGGACGGATGGATGGACGGACGGACGGACGGATGGATGGATGGACGGACGGACGGACGGACGGACGGACGGACGGACGGACGGACGGATGGATGGATGGATGGATGGATGGATGGATGAACGGACGGATGGACGGATGGATATGGCTGTACCCTTTAGATCGGGCGGTGGCTAGCGTAATACTTAATGCCGTCAGCTACAAGTACCGCCATCTAGTGAACACTGCAAGAACTGAACGAGAGGTGGCTACATACAGGGGACGCACAGCCCACGCCTTAAGGAGCTTCGCTCCTAAAAGAAAAAAAAAAGGGTCAATGCTACAGAAAACGTAAATGTTAATACTTAGAAGAGGGCCTGGGGCATGCATATGGAAGGCATTCCAGCGGCTCATCTCACTACATGCTCCCTAGAGTGACTTTATGTTGCTCCCAACCACATAACATATGCTGAAACACGACTACAGTGGCTGCTCGACTACTGTTTGCTTGTCGCAAGCAGCCCTACAAAATTCTAGTACACTCTAAGCCCTACGATCATCAAACGTCAGGAACGTCGCAAGAAAAAGAACATCTGGCCACAATGGGTTCCACGGTACAAAAAGCATGGCCTTCGAGACTAAAACAACAACTTTTTTGTGTGACATCATCATCATCAAGTGAGAGTTTCGAGAAGAGAAAGGGGGCGACGTTTGTTGCTGTCTGAGGTGTGCGTTCGCTGCGCTGGCGCAGTTTTCGTGGATTTCTGAATTAGACGGCTAGGCTGAAAGAAATGGTGCGAGCGTGGTATATGGACGAGGACTTGTCAGTCGACCAACGAAAGGAGCACCAACTGGACCCGCCAGTGCCGGTGTCCTTGGACGAACTTCGCGAGAAGAGCGGAGTCCTCCACTGGAAGGTATATCGAGCCCTTGACAACAGCTTTACGTGCTATCGACAGCAAACGAGGACTCTGATATCAGCACATAAATTATTTGTGTTATAATGGCGTGACACCGTAAAACTTCGATCGCGAAGTTTTCGAGATTGAATTTCCATTTGCAAGTGATCCAGTCGCGATCTCTTGCAAGAAATTCGATGCGTATTGAGGGTTGTCGCGATCGAAAGTGATCGACCGCATGACACAGATGTTTACAACAGAGATAAGATAAAGAGATGCCGTAGCGGCAGTATTTCAAGGCCATAGCAATTCTTCAAGCTTGCTGTTCTTCACGTGGTTGAATGAACGCAGATAGGTTGCAAGCTTACTATATTTGTGCGCGTATGGTTTATTTCCAGTTGAACGCTGACACATACGAGGAGGATGGCGAGCTCGAGAAAATTAGGAACGAGCGAGGATACTCGTACACAGATGTCATCGAGATATCCAAGGACAAACTACCGAACTACGAGGAAAAGGTATGTTCATTGGTACC